GGAAGCGCTAACGTGTCTGTTCTCTCCGCAGGTTGGTACTGAGAAGTGCCTTTCCTGACGGCGCTGCTGCTTGGACCGCTGCTAGAGCAGCCGCTGCTTTTTGCCTTGCTTGCTGCGAGCTAGACTGCGACGACAGCACGGCCGCCCTCCACCTCTAGCCCCGGAGCCAGGCGACAAGCTCTGCTGGGCATTGCCGTAGGCCGCTTTAGTAGGAAAATAAAAGTTTGCTGGGAAAGTAAGATATCTTCTGCCAGAAAATCAAGGAAAGGAAAAAAAAATCTCTCGATTGTTGCTCTAAACTGCTGCATCTGTCTATGCCAAACTAATCAATACCGATTGCACCACAAAGCCGAGCGCAATTCCGCTGCGTGGAGATTACCTTTCCGACAACCTTTCTGCAAGCAGCCGGCAGCTCTGTGCCCGAGGCCCTGCCACGTTTCCCGCTTGCGTTGGGGCGCCAGGCGGCACGAGAATGGGCTGCTGAGCACACGGCTGCGCCCAGGCCGCACTCCCTAGCGTTCGTCTCACTCACAGGCCTCGCGCTGCTCCCAGTACAGAGCCTCTCTCCATTAACAGTTTCATGCTGTGAACTTCTAGTGGCAAATCTTTCCCTTGATATTGTGACCACACCATTTTACATGTACTTTTAAATTAGGGAGCGGGGAAAAAAAAAAAAAAAAGGCATTCTGGAGGTGCCGTTTTCCTCATTTCCAGTCTCTCAGTTCAGCTCTTTGTCTGTTCCTTTTGCTGACGATTTTAACTACCTGTAAAACCTAAACATGGCTGTTAGTGTCACGCCGATCCGGGACACAAAGTGGCTCACCCTGGAGGTGTGCAGAGAGTTCCAAAGAGGGACTTGCTCCCGGCCAGACACGGAATGTAAATTTGCACATCCATCGAAAAGCTGCCAAGTTGAGAACGGACGCGTAATCGCCTGCTTTGATTCATTGAAAGTGAGTAAATATTATATTATTTTCCAGGATCTACGGTTAATGCAAGGAGGGATTAGCGAAGGCGTGGAGCCGGAGGAGAGGAGGCGCTCGCTGGGCTGCAGGGAGAGCTGTTGTCAGTATTATTGTTGTTGTTGTCTGGGTTGATGATCGCTGCTTTGTTCTGTTCTGCCCTGGGGGAAGGGGCCGGGGTAGGAGGGCAGCGCGGGGCCGTGCAGGGCTGCACCTGCTGGTGGCTGCGCTGGGGCGGCCGCGCAAAGCGCCG